CCCCCCCCCCCCCGCCCGGTTCGCCTCCCGTCCCTCCCCGCCGCGTTATTAATATCCAGCCCCAAAGGTGCGCCCAGCCCTCCCCGGCCGCCCGTTAACCCTTGGGGGCCCGGAGCTCCGGCGGTCGGGGAGGGGGGGCTGGTGGCGTTCCGGGGGGGCGGAGCTGCTGTTTCGCAGCACCTGCACCCCCCTCGGGACCCCACCAGCCCCAGCAGCAGGGGGGAAGAGGCACCAGGACCCCCCTACAAGGTCGTATCTTGATCTGGGACCCCCCGGTTCTGGGCATCCCGGGGAGGGTTGATCCCACTGGGGGTCCCTCCTTCGAGATCTTCTGGGGGGCTTCGGGTGCGAGGGGGTCACCTGGCACCCTTGGGTCCCACGGGCACTCCGGAGCTGAAGGGGTTACAGTGTCGGGTGGGGGTGTCCCCACTGCAGAGCAGAGCGGGCAGGATGGTCCCGGGGCACGCAGGGGATGAGCCCCCCGGCTGGTACATCGAGGACTCAGGCAGTGGGATGATCTACAAGCGGGGACGGCTCCTGGGACAGGTAAACCCCCCCTCCCTGCACCCCTGAACAGCCCCTCACCCCAGCCAGCACCCCCTCTCCGCCGGGCACCCCGGGGGGGTCCCACACCCGCACCCCCCAGGGCTGCAGGGGGTCCCCGAGGTGTCCTGCTCCGAGGGGGACCCACCACACCCCCTCTGGGGAAGGGGAAGAGGCAGGGGGGAGACATGGACTGAGCGACAGTAGGAGGGAGGGCACACGGGTGGGCACCCCAACACCCGGGACCCCTCTCGCCCCCCCTCCGTGTGCCGGGCTGCCCTTTCCCACGGGATCATCCTCGCAGGGCACATTTGGGCGCTGCTACCGGGTGACAGAGGTGACCAGTGGCCGGGTCTATGCACTGAAGGTCGTCCCTCGAGCCCGGCTGGCTGCGGTGGGCACCGGGGAGAGGGTGAGTCTTGAGGGGACAGTCCCCAGGGACGGGGGGGGGGGGGCAAAACCCATGGGGACCCCCTAGAGCCCCCGAGCCCCGTCCCGCGGGGTGTGTGCTGGGGGTGCCCGGATCCCGAGGGTTCCCCGGGGGCTGCCGGGCTCGTGTCGGTGCAGGTGGAGCGGGAGCAGGAGCTGCACCGTCACCTGAGCCACCGGCACATCGTCCGCCTGCACCGGCACTTCACCCACCGCGGCCACCTCTGCCTGCTGCTGGAGCTCTGCAGCCGCGGGGTGAGCACCTGACCCTGAAACTGGGCACCTGAAACCCAAAACGGAGCACCCGCACCCCAAACCAAGCCCCTGCACTCCAAAACCAAGCAATGCACCCACCCCCCCCAGGCCGGGGCTTCAGCAGAGCCCAGGGTGGCCCCTCGCTCTGTCCCCAGTCCCTCCTCGCTCCATCCCAGTCCCTTTTCCTGCTGTCCCAGCGCCTCCCCTCTCTGTCCCCAGTCCCTGGCCGACATCCTGCGTGCCCGGGGCCGGCTGGGGGAGCCGGAGGTGCGGTTTTACCTGCGCCAGGTGATCTCGGGGCTGCGCTACCTGCACGGACACGGCCTCGTGCACCGGGACCTCAAGCTGAGTGCGTGGGGCACTGGGGGGGTGCGTGTGTGACCCGGGGTGGGTTTGGGGTGCCCCACACCGGCCCCATCCCGCTCATCCCCCTCCACAGGCAACTTCTTGGTGACAGAGGAGATGCAGGTGAAGATCGGGGACCTGGGGCTGGCGCGGGGGGCGGCTCCGCCCTGGCGGCGCTGGGGGTGAGCGGGGCCAGGGGGCTGCTGGGTTGGGGGATTCACCCTGCCCGTGTCCCCAGGGTGCTCCTGAACAGGGGTTCATCCTGTCTGTGTCTCCCCAGGGCGCTCTGTGGGACCCCCAGCTACCTGGCCCCGGAGGTGCTGGACCGCAGGGGACACGGGGTGCCCTCAGACATCTGGGCCCTGGGATGTGCCCTGTAAGGGGGGACTGCAGGGGGGACGAGGGGAGATGGATGTAGGATGGGGAGGGAGCTGGAGGGAGGACAAGGGGAGGCTGGAGGGAGGACAGGGGATGCTCCTGGCCCCACCTGGAGCAGCTGGACCCCCTTCCCCCAGGTACACGGCCCTGACCGGCCGCCCCCCGTTCGAGGGGTCCCAGCGGCTGGAGCTGTACCAGCACATCCGGGGGGCTCGGTACCCGCTGCCCCCCCAGCTCTCCCCCCGTGCCCGGGCCCTCCTCGCCCTCATGCTGGACCCCGACCCCGCAGCACGGCCCAGCCTGCAGGACGTGCTGGACCACCCGTTCTTCACCCAGGTGTGGGGCTGGGGGGGGCACGGGGAGGACATGGGGGGACTCACACACAGGGAGGGGGTCACTGCCTGTCCCTCCCCAGGGTTTCACACCCCACAGGCTCTCGCCCCGCGCCTGCCACTCCGTGCCCGTGTTCCTGGGACAGGACCCGCTGTGCCGGATGCTGCGGGGGCTGCAGCGCTGCTGGGGGGGTGGCTGTGCCCCTGGTACCCCGGGGAGGCAGTGTCCCCCCTCCCAGAGGAGCAGCTCCCTCGGCAGGACCCGAGCCAGGCAAACATCGGCAGAGGAAAACCTTTATTAGTGCTGGGAACCGTCTAAAATCCAGTCATGGAGACAAGCGGGGCGGGGACGTGACCGGGACAAACGGCACACACACACCAGTCTGCCCTTAAAAACGTCAACAGGAAGAAAAAAACCCGAAATCCAAACCCAAAAGGGTGCTCTCTTCCCTGCCAGCCTGGGATAGGGTGGGGTGGGGAGGTGCAGCTCCAAGGAGCTGTGTCCTGGTGCTGCTCCTGGGGGTCACCAGGAGGGGCACCAGGTCACCCCGCTCTGCCTCCAGCCCCACCAGCAGTGGGGACACTGGAGAGGGGACAGAGGGACCTGTGGGCTGGGAAGGAGGGAGGAAAATGCATGGTTTCCCTGTCCAGCTTTGGTTCTCTCTCTCTTGAGAGAAGAGTCTGGAAACGCTGAAAGCTCAGTAAAACATGACACTAAAATCACCCACAGCAGGAGGGGGGCTGGGACCACCCACCTATGCCTAAAACACGGGAGGGGACAAGGACAAGATGCTCGACGTGGCCCCAGAAAGCACCAAGGAGCCACTGCCCTGCTCACGGACCCACCCACGTGTCAGCACCAGAGGGGACCAGCGAGGGAGGGGGTGTCACCAGCAGGGTCTGGAGGAGGGAGGTAACAGCAACGACTTTGTCTGCACTTGGGGTGAGCCCTCTGGGGACAAAGGCCAGAGGAGAGGGAACAGGGAACAGCCTGGCTGGGGGGGACACAGCAGCTCCCACGCAGGGGGATGGGGTGGCGGGTGCGAGTTTGGGCACTTGGCTCTCACTCGTGTCCTCAACCCACGGCAGAGTGGCAGGGGGGGACCCCACAGCCCTCACACAACACACCCGAGGCCAAAGGTGGGGTGGGACACAAACCCCAGCCCCCCTCAGAGCTCCTCAAACCCTCTCCAGGCTCCTCAGCTCCCGAGGAAGCAGTTGGGAACCTCTCCCAGCCCGCTCGTGGTTCCTCCCTGAGCAAACCCCGGCCCGGCCTTTGCCCTCGGGGTCGGGGCTCCACCACCGCGACCCACGGCCCTGCCCTGGCACGGGGCCTCGTGCCACAACACCCCGAGGGTCCTCAGGGACATGGGGACAGCCGGGGGACAGGTGGCACAGCCTGGCTGATCCCGAGGCCGGGCACAGGCCTGGCTGCTGTCCCTGCCCGTGGCGCCGCTCCCGGCAGCCCCAGGCCTGGCGCGGAGCCCGCCGGGTATTTTTATCCCGGCATCCGTGTTGTTGTTTGAAGCTGTCGGCTTGTTTTTTTGGTAATAAACACGGCCCTCCCCTGTCCCAGCCCGGCCCAGAGCTGACAGCAACACCCACACCCTCCCCTGCCACAGCCTGGGGCCGCATCGGCTGCCCCGGGATGGCCCTGGAATAGCCCTGGGATGGCCCTGGAATGGCCCTGGGATGGCCCCAGAATGGCCCAGGGATGGCCCTGGAATGGCCCCGGAATGGCCCTGGGATGGCCCTGGGATGGCCCTGGGATGGCCCTGGGATGGCCCTGGAATGGCCCTGGCAGCCCCGGTTCAGCCGGGGGGAAGGTACAGCCCCCCCTGGATACCTGACAGCACAGGGGGTCCAGCCATGTCCCCCAAACCCTGTTCTGGCAACACCTCCACCAGCCACCCCCTCCCAGGCAGGAAGGTCCGAGGGGCTCAGGGCAGGATGTTCCAGTAAATTCCATGGGTTTTAAGCTCTGGGATCTCCCCATCTTTACTCCACAGCCAACAGCTGCCCAAAGATGGGGAGAGCGGGGCTCGCTGCCCTTGTTTGGTGCTCAGGACAGTTCCGTCTGTCCTGGGGCACAAACCAGGCCAAGGGGGAAACAACAACAGGGTGGGAATTCTGGTTTCTTAAAAAGACGGGATTTAAAAACAACAACCCAAGCTTTGGGAACTCCTCTCCCCCTCCTCCCCGGCTCTGGGTGAGGCCGAAACTCACCCTCGTGCAGGACTCAGGTTCAAAGTTCAGCAAATTTGTGTGGGTGACCCAGAGCCCCGTCCCCAGCAGGGGTGACAAGGGCAGGTCACCTCCCTGTCACTGCAGAGCCCGGCCCAGGGCTGAGCCCGGCTCCCAGAGCCCAGGGGGGGCTCAGAGCGGGACCCTGGCGGGGCAGCTCGAGGCAGGGGTGGCCCAGGGGGTGTTTGGTGGCAGGTACCAGGTGAGGGGAGGTGCGTGGGCAGGGGCTGCATTGCACAGGGGCCTCAGCAGCCCGAGGACAGCGAGCTGCTCTCCACCTTCAGTCCTTTGCTGGCCAGGAAGGCATCCTGCTTGGGCTCCCGGCCCAGGAACTTCCTCAGCATGTCAGAGGCATCCACGGAGCCGCCAGGACGCAGGACACAGTTCCTGTAATCCATGCCCACCTGCCAGCAGAGATGGGGCCCGTCAGGGACACCCACCCTTGTGAGGGACACCCGCCCTGGCACCAGCACCTCGCTCCAGCCGCACTCGGGGGGCCCTCCCTACCTTACAGTTCATGGTGCCCTCAGGGGACCCTCCCTACCTTGCAGTTCATGATGCCCTCCTGCTTGAAGCGGGTGTGGAACATGTCCATGGAGAACACCTCACTCCAGAGGTAGCCGTAGTACTGCGCGTCGTAGCCCCCGGCCAGGTGGCCAAAGGTGGCCGGCATGTTCGTCCCTGTGGGGAGGGGAAGGGAAGGGGGTTAAGGGGAACTCACAGCATGGAAACCACCCCCCTGCTGTCACTGCGTCACAGCGGGCACTGCCTCAGCTGGTGACAATCCCAGGGGACGCAGGGAAGCACTTCCCAGTCGTTTCTGCGTGGTTCAACCCCGCTTTTCCTGGAGCCAGCACAAAGTGTCCCCATTGAGCCAGCCTGGGAAGAGCCTGCTGAGCCAAGGGTGCAGGCCAGGCCTAGAGGGACAGGAGGGTGGGACACCCATACCTGGGGTGGCAGGGACACCCAGCACCTCTTCACACAGCCGGGCAAACACCTCCACGGGGTCGGCCTTGGTCTGGGTGTGCAGCGCCTGGTCCACCTTGGCCAGGACGATCTGGCGCAGGTTGAAGAGCCCTGTTCCCAAAAGGATGAGGAGGAGGCAAACTGAGCTCTTGCTGGCAGGCAGGGCCAGAGTCTTGCCTGCAGGAGTGCCACCGAGGCCAGTGGCAGCAGGGCAGGCTGGGGGCCTGGCACCTCTCGTCACTGTGCCACCTCCCAGCCCATGTCATGCCACGCCACCCTCGCTCTTCCCAGATGAACACCAGGCAGGTGTGGCTCCTTCCCCCAATCCCCTCGGACCCTCCAGCACCACGGGGAGCCAGGCAAAGCCTTTCCTCTACCCAGCCAGGTCACAAAGTGTCCCCTTGCCCTCCCCACGCTCAGGGAGCACCAGCCCCCTCGGCAGGGACCCACCCGTGTTTGCCTGCCGGGATTTGATGAGCTTCTCCAGCAGCTCATCCGGGATGGGGCTGCCTGTTTTGTAGTGCCTGGACATGCGCAGCAGCGGCTCCTTCTCCCACACCCAGTTCTCCAACATCTGGGACGGGGCCTCCACGAAGTCCCTCTCCACGTGTGTCCCGCTGAACATGGCGAACTCGGCCTGGGAGACACAGCGAGCTCAGGGACAGGGGAGCGGGATGGGGGAAAGGTGCCAACCTGTGCCAGCGCAGGGAGGCCTCACCTGGGAGCACAGCTGGTGCATGACGTGCCCGAATTCATGGAAGTACGTCTCCACCTCGTCGTGCTGCAGCAGGGAAGGGGCGTCCGGCGTGGGCTTGGTGAAGTTGGCCACCATGGCGGCCACCGAGATCTGCCGGCTGGAGTCCGGCAGCAGGCAGCCCGGCTGCAGGCCGAAGCAGGCAGCGTGCCCGTACTTCCCTTCCCTGGCACAGGCAGAGGACACTCACAGGGATCCTCCCCACGGCCAGACACAGCCACGGCCTCCCCCACCACAGTCCTGCCTGGAGCAGGAGCTCCAGAGACCCCCCCGAGCTCCCAGGACGGCCCTTCCCGAGCACAGGAGCAGGACCCTGCTCCTCCCGAGGCTCTGCTCCCCAGCCCAGCCCTGCTCCCTGCTCCTCCTTGCCCAAGGCCTCACCGTGGGTACAGGTCCAGGTAGAACTTCCCGATGGTCTCTCCGGAGGACGTGTCCTTCACCGTGTAGAGCTGCACGTCCTCGTGCCACACCGGCGCCTTCTCCTCCAGGTGGAAGGTGAGCCCCAGCAGCTCCTGGTAGATGGCCAGGAGGCCCGTGGTGACCACCTGCATGGGGAAATACTCCTTCAGCAGGTTCTGGTCCACGCTGTACTTGGTCTCCTCCACCTGGTTCATGTAGTAGCGCATGTCCCAGGCGTTGATGCGGTTGTCGAACTCCAGCCCGCGCTTCTCGCACTCCTTCTTCTTCAGGTCCAGGATCACGGCCCGCTCCTTCTCCCCGAGGGGCTTCAGCTTCTGGGCCAGCTCATCTGGGAGAAGCACAGCAGGCAGGGTTGGCACCCGTGGTCAGAGGAGCACGCCCGGCCCGGGATGCCCCCGCTCTGCCCCGGGACGCACCCAGGAACGTGGCCACCGTCGTGCTGCTCTTGGCCATGTTCATCTCCAGCACAAAGTCTGCGTGGGTGCTGAAGCCCAGCAGATTGGCCTTCTGAGCCCGTAAATCCACCAGCTCCTTCAGGATCAGGCAGTTCTCCTGCAGGGCAGACACAGAGGGGAGTGGGGCATCCAGGTGAGAGAGGAAGCAGGAGCTCTCCCGAGGGAAGAAGCGCAAGTCCCAGGTGAGATCCCCCCGGTGCTCTGGCATCCCATCTGTCCCACCTACCTCTTTGCACCTGGAGTTGAACATCTCCTCCACCTTCCTCCTCGTCTCGGGCACGTAGCACTTCTTCAGCAGAGGGAAGTAGTGTGGGTATTTCAAGGTGACCTTCAGCTTTCCATCCTCTGTCTTCTCCAGGGAGTTCAGGAAATCCTCAGGGAGCCCCCCTGGGAAAAGAGCAGACAGGGCTGAGGGAGAGCCCAGGATCCTCCAGGAATACCAGCTCTGGGAATGGGCACAGGAAGGGGAAATCAGGAATCATGGCCACACCAGCACAGAGCTCAGCTGAGCTCTCCATACCTAATTCCTCCTTGGAGAAGGGTAGGAAGGTGGTGTCTTCGTTGAGGTTCTTGTTGAAGTCTATGCACAGGACACTCAGCTTTTTCTTAATAGCTTTGATTTTCTTTAAAGTGCAGATAAACAGAGCAGAGTCAGTGCTGGGGAGGAAGCCAGGCTGTGCCCTGCTGAGCTGCCCAGCAGCAAGTCTGCACTTGGCTCTGACTCAGCCCCAACGCTGCACAATTAACTGTGAGCCAGCACCACGCTCCCAGGCTGGAACAGGCTCCCTGGGATCACACCTGCTGGGAACCAGCCACCTCAGCAAGGCCCTGCCCGTCCCCTGCCAGCTCAGGAGCTGCAGGTGTCTCAGCAACAACCTCCTCTATCCTTATTTTTCACCTTCTCGTCTGTTTTTAACCCAGATTTGAGCTCCTTCACTGGTGCTTGGTAAGAGAGGGAGACCCTGAGCAGCTCAATCCCCTCCCTTCAGCCCTTTGCCTGTGGGAACCAGGTGCTACTTCCAAGCCCAGGCTGGACAGGGCTCGGAGCAACCTGGGATAGTGGAAGGCATGTGGGGGGGAAGGGGGTGGGATGGGATGAGCTTCCTTCCAACCCAAACCACCCTGGAATTCTCTGAGCTCACCTCCTGTGTCTCCTCAGGGAGATGGAGCCCGTTCCTCTTTCCCAGCTTGATCAGCCTCTCCAGGTACCTCTTTGCCTCAGGTTTCAGGGAAGCACTTTCTGCTTTCTCCTGGAAAACAACACCGTGAGCTCGGGGAGCTGCAGGACCAGGTGCTGCAGGGAGCTGCTTCCTGGTGGGAGCTGTGGCTTATGGGAACACCCCGAGGGATTGGTTTGGTGCACTGGTTCCCACCAGACTGCTTGAAACACGTCACTTTTCTGCTGTGTCCCAGCGTTCCCTGGGGCATCACCAGCCCCCTCCCCACCTCAGCTGGGCTGGGCTTACCAACACCACCTCAGCAAAGAGGTGATCCAAGGCCCTGGGAAGGGGGCAGAGCCCTCAAACCCCAATTTTCCAGCTCTCACAAACAGCTGGATCCCTCTGCAGCGCTCACACCGCGATCCCATTCCAGACCCAACTCAGCTCTGGGACGAGGGGAAAAGCTTTGTTGGGACCCCGGGAGGTCTCAGTGCCCTGCTGAGGGGCAGCCCTGGCAGGGAACACACCTGGAGCCAGACAATCCTCTGGTACACGTCCTGCCTCATGCTCATCTCCACGTCGAACTCCGAGAGCTTCTTGTCGGCCTCGGTGCTGGCGGCGCGGATGGCCTTGCAGGGGGACACGTGCTGGGGGAAATCCAGCATGTTCCGGCGCACTGGCAGAGAACAGGGATCATGGCTCCACATCCCAGGGCTGCTGGGCACTGGCAGTGCCCACACAGAGCCAGTCTGGCAGCCCAGGGCCCGGCCCACCACCCACACGAGGGAAGAGCGGCTCCCTCGTGCCCCTTCCCTGCTGCCGAGCACATCCATCCCCTGGGCTCCCACCACAGCCCAGCATTCCCCCAAAACTCACAGGAATTTCGTGCCTGTGAGACCCCAACCCCTCTGCCCCAGCTGTGGCATCACAGGACCTGGGGGGGTGTCCTGTGCAGGGCCAGGGGTTGGGCTCACTGATCCCTTCCAGCTCAGGATGTTCCAGGATTCCACGCTGGCACCGTCCCTGTGTGCCTCCCTTAGAGCTAAAACTGGGACACATCTTTCCCACAGGTGCTCCCCAAAAGCCAGCAGGCCCCAGGTGGGCCCTGTCCTGATGCATTCCCACTTGAGAAGGGAAAACAGGGAGGACATTCCTGCAAAGCCTCAGGTAACAGCGCTCCAGGTGCTCTCCAGGCACCTGGACTCTCCCCCAGCACGAGGTGAGCAGGGAAGTGCTGACAGAGGTGCTGAAGTCGACACTCCTCCTGCTTACTAAGGGGTTTTTTCCTCTTATTTTAGGAAAGAGAGCTGGGAGAGGAGGAAGACAAGGCTTGCAGGCTGGTGCCTGCTCCAGACAGGTGTGGCAGCTCCCGGCACAGGGATCCTGAGGGGCTGCCTGGATTGTCACTGGAAATAACCAGACAGACAGACACCAAAACTGCATCACTTTGGTGCCACCATGACATGTTACCTTCCCAAAAATTATAGCAGGCCCATGGAGAGACATTCATTTATCCACTGGCTTAGGGAAAAAATTAGGAAGGAGATGACAATTTCTTAGATCTTTTCTGCTGTTTGTTGCCACTGATGGTCCCTGACACATGAAAGCAGGGACAGCCTTGGGAATGTGGCTGCTCATCCTGCTGCCAAAGGGGTGTCCTTGGCTTCGTTTGCTCTTCCCTCCCAAGTCTTGTTCTTTGTACTTGTACCTCGTCGTATAAACATTAACTGGGGAAAAAACACCAACACGCTGCTGGGAGCCAAGGGGAGAGAGCAGGAGTTGACAGCACAGAGCTAAAAACCACCAAAAAAGATCTTAGTAACACGGAATCATGGAATCCTGGAGTGGTCTGGGTTGGAAGGGACCTTAAAGCTCACCCTGGCACATGGACAGGGACACCCTCCACTATCCCAGGTTGCTCCAAGCCCCGTCCAACCTGGCCTTGGACACTTGCAGGGATGGGGCAGCCACAGCTTCTCTGGGAATTCCATTCCAGCCCCTCCCCACCTTCACAGGGAGGAATCCCTTCCCAGTATCCCACCTAATCCTGCCCTCTGGCAGTTTGAACCCACTCCCCCTTCGTCCTGAGTTCCAGAAAGCCCCGACCCCCCCTCCCCGCTGCTCCCACCTGTGTATTCCACCTCCACGTCCGCCAGGGCCTTCAGGGTGTTCTCGTAGGACACCTCCCCCCCTCTCCTGGCTGCCCACCCGGTCGTACACGAGCTTGGTGCTCTCGGTGAGCTCGGCGGCCATGGCCTCGATCTGCTCGGCCGTCAGGTCCCAGCGCAGCTGGTTGGCCACGAGCCGGGGCGCCTGGCTGTCCACGACATTCCCTGGGGAGGGGGGAAAAAAGGGCCGGGAGACGTTCCCTTAACGCGGGCTGGAAGGGAAACCCGGCTGGGGGGCTGAAGCCCGATAAAAGCGCTTGGAGAGAGGCCCAGCAGCCCCGCGGGGATGGGCTCCGGGAGCGGGCAGGGCGCCGGGAACGGGCGGGCGGGTCGTTCCTTCGCGGAAACCCGACTCCCCCGGGCCGTGCCCCGGCAGGTGCCCGTGCCCCGGGGACGGGCCGGCGGCCGTGCCCTGCGCGGGGACAAGGCCCGCGGGGCACGGAGGTGACTCGGGGGGGGCAGCAGGACCCCGCGGCCGCCCCGGGGGGGGGGTGACCCGAGCCCCCTCCTCCCGCCCCATCCCTCTGCCCTCATCCCCCCTGCCCGCGCCGCGCCGGCCCCGAGCCCGAGCCCCCACGTCCCCCCGCGGGCTTGCAGCCCCCCGCGGCCGCCGCTACCTGTGGGGGGGGCCATGCCGGGGGTGCCGGGAGTGCTGACGGGGCCGGGAACAGGCCGGGCCGGCGCCACGCACCGAGCATGTGCCCCGAGCGGGGAGGCGGGCGGGGACAGCGGGGCATTGTGGGAGCGTGGAGGACCGCGCCGCTCCCGCCTTCCTCGCGCCGCACCGGGGGCCGCGGGGGGAAAAAGCGGAGGGTCCCCGCCGCCACCCTCAGAGCCGGCCCGGAGCGGGGCCGGGAGCGGGCGCGGAGCATCCCCGGGGTCCCGCCCGCCCGTTCCCATGGCAACGCCCCCGCCCCGTCGCCATGGCAATGCCCCGTCTCTATGGTACCGCCAAGGTGGGGCGGGGCTTCCACTCTGCGCCCCGCCCTCTTCCGGCCGTATAAGGGCGTGGGCGGGGTTACCGCGGCGCGTGCGCGCGGCGGGCCCGGCGCGTGCGCAGTGCGTGAGCGCGCCCGGCCCAGGCGAGTGTCGGGGCGTCCGGTGAGCGGGACCGGGGGGAACCGGGGCCGGGCCGGGACACACCGGGATACACCGGGACACACCGGGACACGGCTCTGCCGCCACCGGGCACTGCGCCCCGCCGGGAACCGCCCGCGCCGGGCCCGCCGGCGGCAGCGGGAGCGAGACCTGGGGGCTACCGGGGGAACCGGGAGCGGGGCGGCGGGAGGTGCCGGGACCGGGCTGTTCCCCCCCGCCGGGACCCCTCCGCCCCCCGTGCTGGCGGCGCCGGGCTGTGCTCCCCGCGGGGAACCGCTCGCTCCGGTCCTGGTGGGGGCACCGGGACCGAGGGCAGCGGGACCGGGATTACCGGGATGTACCGGGGGTACCGGGATGTACCGGGGGTACCAGGGTGTCCCGGGGGTACCGGGGCCCGGCGGGGTCTGGGGGCTCTCGGTGCCGGCCCTCCCCCCCGGGCCCGGTGCTGCTCCGGTGCCTCCCGGTGGGCTGGGCCCGGCTTGGCTGTGCCGGACTCTCATTAAACCAATTTAATTTCTCAGTTAAACGCCCCTGGCTGTGCCACAAACCCAGTTATGGCTCGGGGGGGCCGAGCTCGGCAGCAGGAGCTGCATCCTGTGTCCTTCAGCACTTCCCTTGGGATCCCTGGGAATTCCCGGCCCCAGGATGTGCTTTTTTTGGGGGGGGTCTCTCTGCTTTGGGTCCTCCCTCCCTTTCCCTGCCAGCCCTGACCCCCAGCTCTGCTCCCAGGGACGCAGCCCCTCAGCCCTTGGCTTTGGTTTCAGAACCAACCTGTGTTCCAGGAGCAGAAAAGTGGGAATTTTTCATGGTGAAGTCTGGTTTTGTGTGTCCTGGTGTTTTGGTACCTCAGATCCCTGCAGCACCTTTGCTGTGTTTCCCTGGGCAGGAGCCTTTTGGGGCAGGAGTGTGGGTGAATCCAGGCCTGGAAAGTTCCTAAAGGGGGGGGGGGGTCGTGGTTGCAGCAGAGTTTAATGAAGTTTTTTGGAATCTTTGGGGCATCCCTGAACAACTCCCTTATCCCCCAAACCCATCCCAGGGTCCTGAACGACTCCCTTATCCCCCAGAATTCACCCTGAGGGGGAGCAGCAGCAAAGCTCTGGCTCCTGCTCTATCCAGCCATGACTTTTCCCTCTCCAGGTGTTTTTGGGAGTCCCCAGGAGTGCAGCCCAGCCCCCCAGAGCTCCCACCATGGCAGACCAGAGGCGTCTGGCCTTCTCCATCATCCAGTTCCTCCACAACCAGCTGCAGAACGGGAACATGTCCCCGGATGCCCAGGAGAGTTTGGAAGGTGGGTGGATGTGCCTGGGGCTGTCAGGCCAAAACTCAGGGAAATGTGGATGTCTTTCCTGTTTTCTGCCCCTGGCTGAGCTGAGCTGTTCCTGACACCAAACCCTGCTGGAGATTTGGGGTTAATTTGTCCCTCGGGGAGGTGTCCAGGGGTGCTGATTCCTTGTCTGCTCTCTGAGCTCTTTCAAAAGCAGATTAGCTCGAGGCAGGGATGGACCTGGGGTCAAAAACCTCCCTGACCCCGGGCTGGAGACTTACAGGGTTTGTCTGGGACGAGGTGGAGGCTCTTGGGGAAGTGTAAAATGAGGATTTCCGTGGCTGCAGAGAAGTGCTTTGTTGCTTGGAGAGTGGTTTTCCCTGTTCTGCCCTCAAAATGCTGCTCCCCTGGATTTACCCAGGCCCTTTCAGAGGGAAGGAGAGCACACAGATCTTAAAAGGTCTCCTTAAGGAGCTTAAGGTTTAGTCTTTGGCTTGTGCATCTGTCCCAGTGAGAGGAGCAGGGGCACCTCTGTGGGGAGGGGGCACATTCCTGGGGGTTGGGTGCCAGGAAGGGGCAGCTCCTGGTGCTTTGGGCTGTAGAGGGTGGCACGAGAGCTCTGCAGAGCTGAGCCCTGGAAAGCTGGGCCCTGTTTTCCCTGGGAGCAGCTCCCCAGCCAGGTTGGGTGGTTTTGGTACCTCTGAGTGGCCACAGCACTTCCCAGAGCAAGTGGAATGTGTGGATCTCTCCTTGCCCGCCCAGAGCCGTGGGAATGCACATTCCCAGCTCTGGGAATGCTGGTGCAGCCCCAGCCTGAGTAACTTACCCCCCCCCAGAGGAGTCACTGAGGGGGTGGGAGCTGGGATTGACTCGATCCAGGAGCCCTGATATCCAGAGCTGAGCTTTGCCCAGCTCTGGGGTTCTGACAGAATTTTATGGATGTGGCCCAGACCTGTGGGAAATGTGTGGTTTGGGGTTTTTTTTTAGAGAAATCCCACTGCTGAGGGACAGGGGTGAGTGTGTAGGGTGGGGAGAGCTAATGAGCTGCCTCTCCCTGTCCAGTGGCCATCCAGTGCCTGGAGACAGCTTTTGGGGTGTCCATGGAGGACCAAGGCCTGGCTGTGTCCCAGACTCTTCCTGAAATATTCGAGGCTGTTGCAGGGAAGGTGAGTGAGAGCCCTGAAGTGCTGAGCTTCCCTCCCTGCAGCCCAAGCTCCGAGTCCTGCTGGAATTCCAGGAGGCTGCTGCTGTGTGGGAGGGGAGTGTTTCGGGCTCGGATGTGCCTGGGAAGGGGGAGGTGTGGGACAGCTCGGTGGGAATCCTTATCTGAGCTTCTCCCTTTCCCTGGAAGGAGCTGGAACACAGCAGGACAAACTCAGAGCCCGTCACCCCCTCTGAGGACGACGTGGCTGAGGCTGAAAGGCTCAAGACCGAAGGTAACAGCCCTGGAGCTGGAGGGGGACGAGGCTCTGGCGGTGACTGCGAGGGAGCCTCGGTTCCCTGGGCCCTGGGAATGCTTGGGATGGGGAAACAAAGGAATGGGACCGGCCCTTCTGCTTCCCTGTGCTCCAGCAGGGTGGGGAGGTTGGCACAGGAGCCTGGAAGCGCTGGGTTATCCTTCCTCTTGCTTTGGCCTGGCCCTGTCTCTCCCTTGCTGACGAGCCTTTTTCCTCCGTGTTTTTAGGAAATGAGCAAATGAAGGCAGAAAACTTTGAGGCTGCTGTGTCTTTTTATGGAAAAGCCATCGAATTAAACCCAGCCAACGCTGTGTACTTCTGCAACAGGTACTGGAGCAGCTTCCCCAGGGCCTGACCACTTAAATCCAGGACTCCTCAAGGGTCAAAATCCCTTTTTTTTTTTTTTTTTATAAATGATCCTGTGGGTTTCTTGTTCTGTTCCTGGCTCGCTGTGTGGTTTGAGCTCATGATAACACACTTCCCTGTGCCTCCTGGCATCTCTGCTTGGGATGTGGGTGTGGAAATGACCTTTATTAGGCATTTGAGGGGATAAGGGATGCCAAGAAAGAGTGTCTGCTTCCATGCAGTTATCTCTGAGTGGGATGGAGAGGCTGTGTTGGGAAGGAAGGAGTGAAATGAGGCAAGCTGAAGGCTCATTACTGAGAATTACACAAGTTGGTGTGTGCAAAGCTGGGTGTGGAAGTGGAGTTTTGTATTTTTCAGTTCTGAGAAGCGTTTTGGAAGTTGGTGGGGAAATAATTGTTGGATAAGACAGGCTTTGAGTCGGGGTTTGACTCGATTTACGTGCTTGTTGTGGGCACACAGGGGCATCTGGCTCCAGGAATAATTAATGACACATTAATGACGTTGGGGGGGGGTGATTTTGGGCTGAAAACTGGTGCTTTCAGCTGAGCTCTGTGTGAGAGTGTTGGTGCCACGAGGTTCTGGGCAGGTGCCCCTCTCAGAGTTGGGAGGTTGAGGCTTTGCTGAGTGGCTTTAAAAGCAGTTTTCCCTCTGTGTGGAATGTGGGGAAGTGGATGGAAATAGTTGTTATGTCTGAGAAACTTGAGGGATAAGGGAAAAACAGGTTTTTCTGAGTTGGCAGGTGGTCCCTGAGTGCCTCCTTGGAGCCTCCTCTGGGAATGTCATCAGGAGGGATAAGGAAGAGCCTGGGTTTGTTTGCATGAGATAATTCCAGGGCAGAGTGTGGGGCTGGGGTCGGGGTGGCCCTCCTGGATGGGGCTGGGGCTGTGCCAGGCTCACACCCCACTCCCTCCTGCACAACAGAGGGGGAACAGGGGAACTTCCCTCGGGATATTCCAGCTGCTCAGTGCTCCCTGCCCCTTTCCCTCCCCTCCAGAGCCGCTGCCTACAGCAAACTTGGGAATTATGCAGGGGCAGTGAGAGACTGTGAACGGGCCATAGGCATCGACCCCAACTACAGCAAAGCCTATGGCAGGATGGGGTGAGTACCAGCAGGGGTTGGGCTGCAGCTCCAGTCCCTCAGGGCTGCCACCTGTGTGCTCTGCCCTGCAGTGCCACGGGAAAATTCCTGGTGTTCCAGCTCCGGGCAGGAGCTTATCTGACTCCAGTTTGCTTTTCCTTCCCCAGCCTGGCCCTGTCCAGCCTAAACAAACACACAGAAGCTGTTGTTTACTACAAAAAGGCTCTGGAGCTGGATCCAGACAATGACACCTATAAGTCAAACCTTAAAATAGCTGAACAGAAAATGAAGGAGACTCCCAGTCCGGTGAGTTCTGCAGTTAATTCGTCAATTCAGGTTTTAGAGGGAGTTTTCCTCACTGTCAAAGCCACAGTTGCTGTTTGCAGGGCCCTGGTGAGCTGTGGGGTGGGTTAAAATTTGAAATTCTGGGGGCAGACAGAGGGGAGACAGTCAATGATCCTGCTGGGAACATTGCAGTGGAACCCAGAGAGGGGAAACAAGTCACCTTGGGCTTCTTGGAAACAGCTGGAAAATGAGACTGAGGAGGGTTTTAAAACCAGCATTTTTGCCTTAAGCATCTTTTTAAATTAAATCACTGTTAAATCCAGCTTCTTTATTTTCCCAGTGACCTGTTAGCAGTATCAAAAGTGATTTATGGGGCCTTTTTTTCTTACAAAGGTGGTTTTCTTGAAAAGAAACCTGGAGGTTTCCCAGCCAGGGAGCTGCTGGCTGCACTGCTGACCTGCTCCAGGCAGGAATGTGTTAGTTGATCGTTTTGGAAGGAATTTTAACTTTCCAAAGACATTCCCAGTGCAGGGCTGGGGGAGGAAGTGTTTAATTTAGAAGCTGGGTCGCAGAGGGGGTGAGAGGTGAGCAAGTGGAATGTGTCCAAGGGGGTGGGACTGGATGATCCTTCAGGTCCTTTCAGCCCAGACCATTCTGGGATTCCCTGATGTGATCCTGTGATTCCCAAGCTCTGGGAGTGAGGTGTGGAAGTGAGGGGGGGGTCACCACCAGCCCCTGGTTTCTCTGTTCCAGACTGGAGGCCCAGGAGGATTCGACTTGGCTGGTCTGCTCAACAACCCCGGCTTCATGAGCATGGTGAGTCCAGGCACAGGTCCCAGCTGGGCTGCTGGGGGTGAGTTCCCTCAGGATGTGGCTCCAGTGCCTCCTCAGATGAGTTTGCACTCCCTGGTTCCAGCGTGGCTCTGGGGGAGCTGCTGGTGTTTCATTAAAGCTCAAATGAAAAGCCAGTGATTTATTCCCTGGCTGTGGAAGGGCCTGTTCTGCATTAGAGCCTGTCCTGCTGTTGTGCTCTGCTTCTCCCTTTGCTATTTTGGTCCTTTTGCTCTGTTTCAAAGCCCTTCTGCCTTCTCTTTGGGGTTGAATGGCACAACACCTGCACAGCTCACCAGCCTCTGACTGAACTGGGGGTTGTTCTTTCTCCTCTCTCTAAACAGGCATCGAATCTAATGAACAACCCACAAGTACAACAGCTGTAAGTTGGATCCTGCTTCTGTTTCCTCTTGGAATTGCTCATTTGAGGCTCTCTGTGTGTTTGGCGTTTGCTGCAGGTCTGGACTGGTGGGAGCAGGAGGGAACTTGGGGCAGGAGTGTGGGGGGAGCCTTCAAACCAACCCAGTGCCCTGAGCTGGCGTGTTTTGGGGGCTTTGGGCTGTGCTGAGGAGGGATTTTAGTGAAATACTTGCACAGGGGAGTGCAAATGGAGCATTGGTTGTGGCCCTGGAGTTGGGTTTGGGGAGCTGGGGATCTTTGGCTCTGAGGATCAGCTCACAGTGTTTGTGAGATGCTTAGATAATGCACAGAGTGATAAATTAACGAGGCACAGACCATTCCTGCCCATCCTTGAAGTGAGACCCCGTGGAATTCTCCCCCTGGATGCAGCCTGAGGACTCCAGAGGAAGGGGCTGAGTGTCCTGGGCTGTTCAGGCTGCCCTGTCAGTGAGTCTTTGATGCAGAGCAAGAAGAGAGCTGGTGTGAGGAAGGGCAGAGTTTTAATTCCACAAACATAACACAGGGCTTGCACACAGGGGAATCTGGAAACAAGTAACTGGCACCATTAGGAGTATTTCTACTTACTGTGCAGCTCAATGTTCCTCTTCTGCAGCTGATGAATGAAAAGTTGTTGCAGGAGATTCCCTTGCAGATAATAATCCCTAATCCATGGGGTGGGAAGGTGCTCCCATTCCTTTGTGCTCCGGTGTAAACCGATTAATTTTGTTTGTTGTTTTTTTTTTTCCTGCTCTACTCTTCTCCCCACAGCATGTCTGGGATGATTTCAGGTGGCCACAACCCCATGGGAGCCACGGGCACCAGCCCCTCCACCAACGACCTCGCCAGCCTCATCCAGGCGTGAGTGGAGCTCCAGGGGCTGGGAACTGGGATTTGGGGGTGCCCAGAACCTCGACTTAACAGCTGGGGGAGGTTTGACATGTTGGGTGAGGTTGTGGCTCCTCTGGTGGTGGGAACTGCCGGCTGAGTGGGGTTCTGGGGTCCTGAGCAGAACCAGAACCTTGATTTAACCCTCGGGGGAGGTTTAAATGTTGGGTTCTCCAACGTTCCCGAGTGTTTTGGTGCCGGGAGCTGTTGTGACAACGGGCTATGGAGGGTTTCCAGCCCCAGGCTGTGCTGGGGGGGTCAGAGCTCTGGTCCCAGCCGTGTGTCCCCCGTGTGCCCTGTCCCTCAGGGGTCAGCAGTTTGCCCAGCAGATGCAGCAGCAGAACCCTGAACTAATAGAGCAGCTCCGGAGCCAGATCAGGAGTCGAACTCCAAGTGCCAGCAACGAGGACCAGCAGGAATGAGCTCTCCAGGTGAGATTCCAGCCAGGAATGCTGGGCCAGCTGGGTGGGGGGGATAATTTAGTTGATTTCTAATAAGCTTTGTGCTTTAATTGAGCCATTTGGTGCCTCTCTGGGGCTCTGCAGGGCTGAGGGGTCAGTGACACCTTCTCACACCCTGGGGACTCACAGACCAGTTTGGGCTCCGTGGTTAAAAAACCAAGTAGTTCAACTTTATTTCTTTTTAGTTTTTATAAAGGTGTTTTTAGTAAATGAATGGGCTTGGTTTTTTTTTAGTGAAAGGAGTGGGGTTTTTTCACTAAAGAAGTTTGTGGGTTTTTACTGAAGGAGGGTTTTTTTTTACTAAAGGAGTTGTTTGGGTTTTTTTTACTGTACTTTATTAAAATGGCTAAACTTCCTTTCCTCCCAGGCTGAATTTCCCCCTCTCTTCTCTTCCTCTCTCCACAGCACAGCCCGGGGGATCTTTGGTGTTTGCTTTAAAAACTGGAAGCCATGTGCGTGTTGCCATTTCTTGAGTTGGAAGTGTCCAAGAGGGGGGAAAAATATAATGGAAAAAAAAAAAAACCCAAACCCCTTTCTCTGACCTGCATGTTCAAGGCAGACTCACTCTCTGTCCCCAGTCCTCGGCCCTGCTCCTCCCTCTCACCCTTCCCATTAGTCCTTTTCCTCCTGGAAGAGCCAGCAGGCTGAACACAGACCAGCATCGAGGCTTTCTAACAGAACTGGGGGAACCACATGGATGCAGTTCCATGGGATTTGCTCCCTTGGGGATTTTTTTTAACCCGTTTTTTGAAGACCGAAGCACCGTCACTCCCCAGGACTCCTTGGTTTTCCTGCCCACGGGCCACTTCCAAGAAGTGTTGAAGTCCCTCCTAACCCAATCCTGCCACTCATGAGACAACGTGTGACCTCTCTGGAGATCCTGGGATCTCGTGGCCTCCAGGATTTTGGTTCATTAGCAGGACTGCACTCCCCGGTCGGGGCTGGGGCAGCTTTGCCAGCGTCGTTATCCCGGGAGTTTGGTGCTCCCCTCTCCCAGGTAAACGTGTGGGGGGGCTGGAACTGGACAGGCAGAACATCCCCACCTGCTCCTCGTGCACTTTTTGGGGGTCATTCTCCCAGAAAGTCCTGACAAAGCTTTAGGACTTCTGGCTGTGTGGGAGCGATCCGGGTCGGGTTGGACAGTGAGGGAGGTTAAAGGTGTTTTTAGTGTTTAAAAGGAGTTTTTCTTGGTTATTTTTTTGTTTTGGTTTTTTTTTTTTAAATCTTTTCTGCATGTAAGTAACAACCTGGCTGACTGTGCTTATGTAGGGAAAGAGGGGGCCAGGGTAGAGCAGAGGGAATAAAATGTTTGGATCAAGGAATCAAGTGGCTGCTGGTTCAACCGTGAGGGGCTGGGGAGGGGGAAGCTCCTGGAGCCACCTCAGGCCCCACCTTGGGCGAGCCCAGAGCTCCCCAAAAGTCCCTCGTTGAGGCCAGAGACTTTTCTATCCACTCACACTCGGTTTGAAAGCAGATTTTTGGGAGTGCTGGGGCCGGGGCAGGGAGGGGGAAGGCGGGAGGTGGGCGAGGCCCTCGGGAGCCCTGGGGGAGTGAGCAGGGACAGTGGGAGGTGAATATCATGGCAAAACTGACCTGTAAATGCTCCATGAAGTTACTGTGGTTCGTGTCACTTGTGAGGAATAAAACATTTGGACACTTTCGTTGTTATCCCTCGTGCCCGGGTGGCTCGAAGGGGCCCCTTTCCAGAGGCTTCTGTGGGGTCAGGGCTCTGCTCCCTCGGGGCTGGGGCTGCCCTGGGGCACATTTTATCCCCTCTGCCCAGGTTTTTTTTTGTTTGTTTGTTCTTCCCTGATGGAATTCTCCTCCCATGTGTTTCTGCAGCACAGAACTAGGAAATCTTTCTCTCTGTGCCTGCTCTCCCCCCTGCCTTTGAGCTCTCTCCTGCTGCTCTTTGCAGCCTGACAAAAGGGGTTTTACACTCTAGCACAGCATGGGAAGAAAATGTTCCAGAATTATCCAAAAAGAAGAAACCACAGGCGGTTTCCCCCCCTCCCGTTTTCAGCTCATTTCAGTGCTGTTCCTTCCCTTGCCCTCCTTGTTCTTTTGTAACTTGTTCTCTTTCTCTGCCTCTCTTGGTTTTCTTTTCACACCTCGGAGCTCCGTGTGCAGCTTTCCACGGGGAATTGCTCCTGCCCTGCAGGGCTGTGGCAGGTCCTTGATGCCTGCTTTTGAACTTTTCCTTCCAGGCTCCCACGTTCCCCAGCTCCTCTGGGAGCCGACAGCGAAAATAATGGAATTTTACGGGATTTTAAGGTTCACTTCAGCTCTCGCAGGGGGCTGCAGGTTATGCGCTTTAACCACACGCAAAAGCTGGAAGAGCAGGGGATGGCGGAGTGGAGGGCGCTCTCCCAGGGGGTTTTTTCCCATTCCCGGTTCCCGCTGATCCCGCTCAGCACCGGACAGCGCTGCGGGCCCGGCGCTGTCCCGGAACCCGCGGAGCGGGGGCGCGTTTCCCGCGGAGCTTAATCCCGGCGGCTCCCGGGCGGGTTGATGGACGGCTCACGCGGCCAATCAGCGCCCGGCTCTCCCGCGGCGGCCAATGGGAGGGCGTCGTGGGCGGGCTCGCGCAGGGCGGCCGGGCCGGGGAGCGGCGGGACCGGCCGTGAGTGAGGGGGGGCGGTTACCGGGGCAACGGGGGGTGAGAGGGGGGGGCCGGGGGCTTCGTGAGGGGATGGAGGGGCCGGGAGGGGGCACGGGGGGATCACAGCGGGGCTGGGGGAGCCGGGGGGGCGGGGACAGGGCCCCCTACCCGTGTGGGGGCTCAAGGGGGATCCTGGGCCTGTGTGAGGGGCTGGGACTGGGCCTCCTCCTCGCCTTGAGAGGGCTTGGGTGGACCCCAGCCCCTTGTGAGGGCTCTGGGCCCCCTCCCCGACCCCCTGTGAGGGTCTCCTCGGCTGAATATGCCCCTCTAAAACCGCCCACCCCTCTCCCAGCAATCCTTGTAGCCCCCCCCTCCTCCACCTCTGCTCCCCTTTGGGGTGCTCCAGCAGGTTTACCCTGTGCCAGTGGCCTGGGAGGAGCCCCCTGCCCACCCCCCTTTTCCACCGTGATCTCAAGGGGTTTCAGGGCTTGGAAGTGCTGGGACAAGTGTGGCTGTGGGGAAGGCGTCCTGTTTTCAGCAGAAATCCTGGGGTTTAGGGGTTCACGGATCAGGAAACCATTTGTTTTCCCTCCCACAGGGCCCTGCCTGCTTTACAGAATATTTTTCATCGCTTGGATGCTTCATTCTGAGCCACTAATCCGAGCAGTACCTGAGCTAATCCTTCGTTCCAGGCTGGTGCCACAGCCTGGGTGTCAGTGCTGCTGCCACAGGAGCAGCTCAGGAGAGCCACCAGGTATTCCTGGGGATTCCTTTCCCTCTGGGCTGCTTCCAGCCCCGCTCAGGGGCACCGGCTGCAGCTGCACTCAGGAGCTCGAGGGTCTGGCGGGGGCTGGTTTGGGTTAAAAACAGGAAAGAGAGGGAAAAACCTGAGGTTGGGGGGTTTCTGGGTGGAAGCCAGAGGTGTGGATTTCTTTCCTCGTGGTTAAAACCCGGGAGCTGATCGGTTGGTTGGGCTCAGCTGGATCCCACAGCAGGACTGGGCGTTTCCCTGTCACAGGGGGGCTGTTCCAGATAAAACCTTTAAAAACTTGGCTGGTTTGGGGCGGCCCCAACATCTCATTTACGTGAATTGTTAATTTAGCAGCGCTTCCAAGTTACTTTTTAATGCAACTGCACTTTTCCCCTGGTGGTTCCCGTGGCTCGTAAAGGCAAAAACTCCCTGTTTTCTCCCCCTGCCACAGGTGCTGATCCCGGGAGCAGCTTTCCCTGGGCGTGTGTCCGGGCTCATGTCCCCGCTCTGAGCCCTGGCCAGGATGAGGATCGTGGTGGCCAAGGTGCTGTGCCTGCTGGGCATCTGTGTGCTGGTGCTGGCGGGGGCCCTGCTGCCCGTGAGGGTCATCGAGGCCGACCACGAGAAGGCCCAGCGCTCCAGGAAGGTCCTGGCCCTCTGGAATTCCTTCGGAGGAGGGGTCTTCCTGGCCACCTGCTTCAACGCCCTGCTGCCAGCCGTGAGGGGCAAGGTGAGTGCTGGCCATGCCTGTGCCAGGGACACCTGAGCCTGCAGGGGCCCAGCCCTCCAGGCCCTGCTCCCTGTGGGAATGGGGGCGATGAGGGGTCTGTGTCCAGCTGGACGTGGAGCCCCCTCAAACGTCTGTGCCTGGTGAGGGTGAGCTGTGCCCACCTCCCTGCCCTACTGCTGGCTGTCTCCATGGGGTCACGGGGCATTTGGGGGATTTTTGGGGGGCGCGAGGATCCCAACTCCGTGCGTTTGGAATGTGGGAAGGCAAAAGGATTCCCCGTCTCGTGGCGGGGTGTCCAGGGGTGTGGGAGTGCCATGGGTGGGTCCGGGGCCGTGTGAGCACAGCGGGAACGTTTCCCTTCAGAGGGATGGATTCACTGCGCATCCTTTGCCTCCTCCCAGCTGGATGAAGTCCTCAAGCAGGGGAACGTGACCACGGACTACCCGGTGGCCGAGACCATCGTGATGGTCGGCTTCTTCGTCACGGTCTTCGTGGAGCAGCTCGTCCTGAGCTGCCAGAAGGAGAAGCCCTCCTTCATCGACCTGGAGACCTTCAACGCGGGCTCGGACGGCGGCAGCGACTCGGAGTACGAGAGTCCCTTCATCGCCTCGCCCCGGGGCCGGGCCCTGTACGGGGAGCACGGGGGGCACCCCCCTCACCTGAGCCTGCCCGAGCTGTCCCGCTCCGGCCCCCTGCGCCTGCTGGGGCTGGTCTTCGCCCTGTGCACGCACTCCATCTTCGAGGGGCTGGCCCTGGGGCTGCAGGAGGACGGCGGCAGAGTCATCAGCCTGTTCCTGGGCGTGGCCATCCACGAGACCCTGGTGGCCGTGGCGCTGGGCATCAGCATGGCCAGGGCAGCGCTGCCGCTCAGGGACGCGGCCAAGCTGGCCCTGGCCGTGTGCCTCATGATCCCGCTGGGAATCGGCGTCGGGATGGGCATCCAGAGCACCCGGAGCGCCGCCAGCGACGTGGTGTCCCTGCTCCTGCAGGGCATGGCCGGCGGCACCTTCCTCTTCGTCACCTTCTTCGAGATCCTGGCCAGGGAGCTGGAGGACAAGAGCCAGCGGCTGCTCAAGGTGCTGTGCCTGGTGCTGGGCTATGCCCTGCTGGCCGGGCTGGTGCTCATCCCGTGGTGAGCCGGGAGCCTCAGGAAGCCGAGCTCGAGCCGCCCCTCCCGCTGCAGGGACGCCGGAGCTCCGCGGGCAGGTGGAACAGCCCGGCCCAGGGGGTGTTTCCAGGATTACCTGCAGGAGGAGGATCTCTTCCCGCGTGCCCAGAGGGAGATGAGTGAGGAACATCCCAAGGGATTGTCCCTGCCCGTGGGGCTGCGGAGATCAGCTGGCACAAACATTAAGGATCTGGTTAAAGGCTGCTTCCGAGAGCTCCTCGAGTGTGTGTGGCTTCCTGCAACCTCCACAGTCCCCTTCTCCCTCCTGCCCCTCGCCCACGCTCTGGAACAAGCCAGGAGCCTGGTCCGTGGGCTCCGAGGAGGTGAGAAACAGGACTGGAGCCGGAGCAGGTGGGAGCAGGGATTGCTGGGCTGCACTAAGCTGCTTTGGCTGGCTTAGTTTGGAGCAAAACCTGGTTGTAAGAGCTGCCAAAAATAACGTCCCCGTGGGGCTCCGGCATTCCCGGGGTGCTGCTCCCTCCAGCACAGCTTCCAGTGCAACCATCCAGGGCTAGGGGAGCTCAGCTTTCCCAGGCATTGATGGAGGAAATGAGGCCGGGCCCCTCTCCCCTCCTTCCTTCCCTGCATCTCATCCATATCCTGAGCATTCCCTTAGGAAAACCTCCAGCAGTGTGTTAACTTAGTGTTTGGGAATCATAGGATGAATGCCAGGATGGTTTGGGTCGGAAGGGAACTTAAAGCTCATCCAGTCCCACCCCCTGCCAGGGGCAGGGACATCTTCCACCAGACCAGGTTGCTCCAAGTCTTGGACACTTCCATGGATGGAGCAAATCCTTCCATTATCCCTGTCCATTCCCTGGCACTCCCAGGGCCCGGGATCCAGGAGCTTGCAAGAAACGGGCAGCAACAATTTCCAGCATTAATATTTTAGGGAAAGCACTTGTGTTTTCAGAGCTCTGCAGTGAGAGGGGTTGAGCAGTCGGAGCAGGGGCTGCTCCCAGGCTTTTCCAGGTTTCCAGAGGAATGGAATCTCTTCCCTGGAGGGCTGTGAGGTGGTGGAAGGGCTGCTGAGAGAGGCACAAGCAGATCTCAGTGGCTGCAGAGCGGGGCCCCAGGGACGCTCCGTGCGCTGCTGATCCCTTTGGATGCTCCCTCCTGGGTGCGGAGCCGGGATCAGAGGCTGGAGCTGGGAAGGAGCTTCCCCCCCAGCTGTGTGACACAGCCGGGCTCAGCCAGGGGCTGCATTTTAATTACCCGGAGCCGCCGCTCCTGCAGCAGCTTCCGCCGGGCTCCTGGAAGCGCCGCTGGAATGACGAGGATGGCGCAGTGCCGGCAGCGGGAAGGAGCCTCGGAGCCGCCGCGGTGGCCCAGCTGCAGCATATGGAGGCAGCTGAGCATCATCTGACAGATCCTGGGGCTCGTTAGTTTAATTGCTGCAACATCCCCGAGTCAATTAATCTTCCTTTGAAAACCTGGAGTGGAGGGGGGGGCGGAGGGAGGTTATTTTGGGCCTGGGATGACACAAACGAGCAGGATGAGGGGAGCGTGATTTGCCTCGGCGTGGCAAAGCCTGGGGGCTGTCTCACCTCTCCTGGGGGGTGACATCGCTCCCCGGGGGGGTTCTCTGGGCGGGGGGGGTGAGGGGGGAGAGGTGACACTGTGCTGAGTGTCCCTTTTTGGGCCGTATCCTGCCTTTCACACCCTCCTCCTGCTGGACTTTGGGATCGGGGCTGCCCCGGGGGGGCTGTGAAGTGCTGGGAGGTGCTGAGCTCCCCCCTCCTCATCCTGCTGCCCCGGGGGGGTTTATCCATGGTCCCATCCCGTGCTCCTGGGTGGGTGTCAGAGCGGAGGAGGCTCCCAATAAACTCCCTGCCCTTCTCCCCTCGCTGTCACTCGGTTGTTTGATGTCCCCCGTGGCTGTTCCACGTCCGGCTCACGCGGTGGCTGCACGTGCCCCCCCCTCGGCAGCCAAACCCCCACTGTCCGGACCCCCCCTCCCCATCCCCGAGCCCTGCTGAGCTCAGAGAGGGGACAGGACCCCCCCTGGCACCCCCTGCCCAGCCCGGCCGTGATTCAGCCCTGCGTGAGCAGCCACCCCACAGCGCCGGGCCCGGCGGGGAGCTGGGGCTCAATGGAACGAGGAGGAGCCACAGGAAAACCATCAAGGAAACTCATTCATTCCCTCTAACGAGGAGTATCCACCCTGCGGGGGGACTCGGGGGGGGGGGGGGGGGGGCGGCGGCCCCCCCCCCCCCCCAGGGCCCTGTCACCCCACGGGGTCCCCGTGGGCCCCCCCTGCTCCCGCCGGGCTGTGGTGGCAGCGCGTGGGTGCTGCCGTGGCCCGGTGCCTGTGCCTGCTATTAATAGCAGCTGCGGATTTTAATTGCTGCTGCTCAGGAAGGGGGGGAAGCAGGAGCCCCCCTGGCAGGCCCTGGCTGTGACAGGCACCTTGAGACCCCCAGGGCCACCAGTCACCTCCAGCCCACCCTGTGCCAGTGGTGGGGCAGAGAGCTGGGGACAGTCACCCTCGGGCCATTCTGGTCCCTCTCAGGCACTGGGGGGGGGCTCAGCCAGCACTTGGGGGTCCCACAGTGACCCCAAGGGACCCTCCGGGGTTTTAGGGCTCTGCCATGGGGCGATGACACTGGTTGGTGACAAAGGCCCCTGGTCCTGCACTGGGGTGGCACCGTGGCCTCTGTGTCCCCAAGGCCCAACCTCGCTGCCCAAAACGCCCCCAAATGCCACAGGGGCTCATGGCACCCCTGCCAGGTTGGGGTGTTGGCATCTGTCTGTCCTGTCCCTGTGTCCCCTGTCACCACCTGTCCACGAGTGCCCGGGCTGTTCCTCGTCCTGTGGGTCCATGTGACCTGTGTCCGTGTGTGGTTCCTGTCTGTGTGTCCCCATCCCCAGCTATCCCTGTCCGTGTGTCTGTGCATCCGTCTGTCCCCATCCCCACATGTCCCCATCCGTCCACATGTCCCTGTCTGTGTGTCCCCATCCCGTGTGTCCCTGTTTGTGGAACCCCATCCCTGTGTATCCCTGTCTGTCTGTCCATCCCCATCCCTTGCCCTGTGTCACCACATGTGTGTCCCTGTTTGTGGAAGCCCATCCCTGTCCGTGTGTCCCTGTCTGTGTGTCTCCCTCCGTGTGTCCCCATCCCGTGTGTTCCTGTCTGTCTGTCCCCATCCCTGTCCGTGTGTCCACGCCTGTGCATTTCCATCCCGTGTATCCCCGTGTGTTTGTCCCTGTCCATCTGTCCCCATCCCTGTCGGTCTGTCCCTGTCGGTCTGTCCCTGTCCGTGCATCCCCGTCCGTGTGTCCCCGTCCCGCCGCCGTGTCCCGGAGCCGTTCGGGGCCGGGGGTCCGGGGCCCCGGGCGGGGCGGGCGCGGCGGGCGGGGCCGGCGGCGGGGCGGGATCGGCTCTGCGGCGGCCGCACCGCACCG